CAGATCAGCAGTCTTCCCCATGATTGTGTAGCCTAGTGAACCAAACTGAGAGACCATTTTGAAGGCTCAGGAAACCTTTGCAGGCGTTTTGAGTTGATTAGCTGATTGGCATGTCACCATATTCTAATTTGTTGAGAGAGTGAATTGGTGGGTTTTTGTTAAATGTGAGCCAAAATCATCACAATTAAAAGAACCAAAGACTTAAACTACTTCAGTCTGTGTGCATTGAATTTATTTAATACACAAGTTTTACAATTGAAGTTGAATTACTGAAATAAATGAGCTTTTCCACGACATTCTAATTTATTGAGATTCACCTGTATATAAAAGGGATGCACCGAAAATTCTTTTTTATTTTATTTTATATAATAAAAAATAAAAAAAATCATTATTTTTTGGCTGAAAAAGAAAAACGGCCGAAAATATATGGTGCATCGTCCAGCAGTGTTCAGCACGCAGGTTTTACTCTCCCTCTAGCCGTTGTCACTGCGCGGTGTGGCGCTCTGCTCAATATTCAGCTCTATGAGTGCTCTTTCCATTGAGTTGCTCACGGCTCATGCGATCGCTCCATTCACTTACTGCTCATGCTCACCGGAAAAGCAAAGTCCGCTCAAATAATGCTCAGACAGGACATTTCTTTGTAGTATGTAGTACAGCTGTACTGGGCAATGCTGGTAAAACAACGCTACCCTCTCGTGACACTATGCTCTGCTCACATGCTCTGATAATAATAGCTTTATAGGACTATACATTATTTGGATAATTAAGCAAAAAATTCAGTTAAATCGGATTCTGTTACATAGAACTGATTTAAAAAATAGGCCTATTTTGATGTTTAATATTAATATATTTTCTGTCCAATTTTTTTGTCTTTCAATAAAAGTGGTTATTTTATTGGTTTGTATTTTTTTTTTACTTTTAACTGTCGCGATTAAAGCGAAAAATGAAAATTAAGGAAAAGTGTTGATTGGCATTACGTTTAGATTTGCTCACAATGCATCAAAGATTTATTTATACATGTTTTTTTTTTTCAGCTTTGAGCATTATAACCAATCACACGTTTCTGTTGAGCGCATGTTTAGATTAGTCACCATTGATGGAAAAAATCTGCAAAACGTTTTGTTCAGTTCATGCGCTCACTGAATGAATTCTGCACTCTTGCTAATACTCTCATCAATACTTAAAAACAAAATCTACATATAGTTTTATGGGGAAAAAAGCAGCCTCTGGTGGCCCCCTGGGCATCTGCAGACATAAATAACACTATCTCTCATTCTGTAGTAATCTTGAGGGTTTCTTGGAGGAATTTGCCGACATTGCTAAGGAGGACCAGATCAAAAAGCTTCACGACATGCTGGGACCACACATGCTCAGGAGACTCAAAGCCGACGTGTTCAAGCACATGCCTTCCAAAACAGAGCTCATTGTCCGAGTCGAGCTCAGCCCCATGCAGAAGTGAGTATGTGTTGAGGAATGGACTGAGAAGTAGGTTACAGGAGGCAGAGTTTCTAAATCTTTTATCTATGAATCCAGGAAATATTACAAGTTCATCCTGACCCGCAATTTTGAGGCTCTGAATATTCGTAGTGGAGGAAACCAGGTTTCTCTACTGAACGTCGTCATGGATCTCAAGAAGTGCTGTAATCATCCCTATCTTTTCCCCGTTGCTGCTATGGTACAGTCCACTTTTATCTCTTTCTGTACCTTTAATAATAGACCAATAACATATGTCATATTATGTGATATGTGAGTAAATTGGTTACTCGATTGGCTGTGTGAAACAGGAAGCTGCCAAGATGCCCAATGGGATGTATGAGGGCAGCACCCTGACTAAAGCCTCTGGCAAACTGCTGCTACTGCAGAAGATGCTGCATAAACTCAAGGAGGGCGGACACAGAGTGCTCATCTTCTCTCAGGTAAACAAGCATTTATTTATTTACTTGGGATTCATTTACCTTTTATGTAGAGATGCACCGATTGCAATTTTCTTGGCTGATTCAGATTTTTTTTCTTTCTTTTTTTTGTAAGTGTGACCTGCCGATACCAATTTTTGCCGATTCCGATTTTCTTTCTAAGAACTATAAACAACTCTCAAAATAAAGTGCTCTGTGACTGGAAAGAGGTAGAAATTAGTTGCTGTATATAACAAAACAGATGTCATTTCCCACTACGTTTATAAATGGGCTTTTTTTTCTCCTAAACTTTTAAATGTGTCATCTTTCACATCAAATTCTTAACTCTGTGACTGGAAAGAGGTAGAAATTAGTTGCTGTATATAACAAGACAGATGTCATTTCCCACTACGTTTATAAATGGGCTTTTTTTTCTCCTAAACTTTTAAATGTGTCATCTTTCACATCAAATTCTTACATTTTCAATTAATTCAGTTAGAATGATAAGAAACTGTAGATTTGTTACCATTCAAGTGAAATCAGTATCAACAAACTCCATCTTTCCACTGCAGAGGAAACAGAAGTTGCATCCGAAACCGAGTACGTGAGCGGAGCGAGGAGTGGAGCGGTGTGATTTTGCCTGGAGCTAGGAGCGGATTCCGTTGAGGTTTCGAAAGTCGGAGCGTTGAGGTTTTCACTCGCTCCGAGAATGCTCTGGCAAATTATGCCAACAGGCGCATTAAACATAATTAATTAGCTTTACAGATATGTGGATCACATATGAAGGTCAAAATGGCGATGGATGAGTGCGGGAGGTTAAAGCATGTTGTAAATTGTACAGTTTGTTAATCTCCGCTCGAACACGGACAGAACACACAAACTCGCACATAATGTACAGATCGCGCGCATACATTCAGGAATGAAGAAAATTTGGTCAACGCTGTCCTGTGATTTATCAGCTTAAAAACTGAAAAGTTACAGCATATTCTTTCTGTTTCTGAAGTAACTACCCTCAGCTTTGCCGTAGTAGAGAGACGTTGCACAGACAAGTACAGTCATGGTCAAAAATATCGGCACCCTTGGTAAATATGATCAAAGAAGGCTGTGAAAATGAATCTGCATTGTTAATCCTTTTGATCTTTTATTTAAAAAAATTCACAAAAATCTAACCTTGGCCACAATTAAAGGCACCCTTTTATTCAATACTTTTTCAAACCTCCATTTGCCAGTTTAACAGCTCTACATTTTCTCCTATAATGCCTGATGAGGCATCTGGCCATAGAAGCCAGTCCCATTTGAAGTTCCAGTCGTGTATGATAACTGAATATGCTGGAGTTTGTTTTTGGATGAGCAAGGAGAATTTTTTTTTTTTTAAGGTTTTCTGACCCAGAGACTCGAATATTTTCTGCAATTCTCCAGCTGTGGTCCTTGGAGAGTCTTTAGCCACTCAAACTCTCCTCCTCACTGTGCATTAGGACGATATAGACATACAGTTTCGTAACATTTTCTATTGATTGGAAATTCTTAATTATTGCCCTGATGGTGGTTGCCCTGATGATGTGATGGTGGAAGTCAATTATCTTTTGCTGCACATCAGAAATATATTCTTTGGTTTTTCTCATTGTGATGGACGATTAAGGGAATTTGGGCTTTGTTTTCCATCCTATTTATATTTCTGTGAAACAGGAACCCATGGCTGGATAATACCATGTTCATAATCACCCTGGAGTGCTCAAAATTGTAAATATGAATGGGAATATACTTCAGAGATATTTTACTCATAAGAATTTCTAGGGGTGCCAATAATTGTGTCCAACGTGTATTTGAGAAAAACATTTATTTCATAATGATATTTCCCCCCATTTTAAATTCTTTCTTATCCAATGAAAGGTTAGATTTTTGTGATTTTTTTTTTAAATAAAAGATGAAAAGGATTAACAATGCAGATTAATTTTCACAGCCTTCTTTGTTCATATTTACCAAGGGTGCCATGACTGTAAGCTAAGCGAGTTAAGCAGTCATTTAATATAGACTTTGGCTAATTGTAGTGTTCCAATAAACCATGTTAAAACTATTCTTCTAGTATTATGCATTTATTTTTCGTTTAATATCATTTCTGAACAGAACTTTGATTTTTCAAGCATAGTGAAATAATTTGGCCGCGGAGCGGTGTTTCTGATCAGTGGAGCGAGGAGTGGAACGGGAAATGGTGAACTCGGAGCGGAGTGATTATTGAAAGCTTGGAGCGCGGAGGGGAAATTGTTGCCGCTCACATACTCTGATCTGAAGTGGCAATAGATGTATTTACACAGACTGTTTGATGAAGCTGAGGTGCCATAAATTAATTTTCACTGCAAAATTGCATATGTATGCATAAATAATGTGATAACCTTAATGTTGTTGAATATACGAATAAGAAATGTTGGGGAAAATGCACTGATACATTAAATATGAAACTAAACCAGCAGTAGGTGGTGGCAAATGACTGTTTAAATGAGTGAGTAATTTAGTCATTATTTCAACCGATTAGTTTAAATGGCTGATTCATTCAGAAATGAGGCAAGTGACTGTCTTTATGAATGGGTCACTCACTGAATCATTGACTCACTCTATTCGTTCAAAATGTGGATTCTTTAAGTAATGAATGTGTTGGGTCTGCTGTCGCTTTGATATGAGCTATTTTTGTTTGCAAAATTTAGCTAAAACAGTCAATATTGTCTCAATTGTAAGTCACTTAATTCGAACATTTTGTTTATTGTATAAAATCAGTGTTACATTGCAATCATTCTGATATTCAGGAAAACATCTTGGTTGTGTAATTTTGCTTACCTATTATAAATATAATTTTTTATGCATCTATAAGCTGTCTCGCTGAACGTGCCAGAAGCCGAAGGCCGGTGCAAACTGTTCTCGAGCTTCTACTTTGCATATTTGGGTTGCACTTAATGCGGATAAGCTCTGGGCTAATGGACCTTTTTAAAGCTTGAACCAAAGTAGGTTCAATATCTTTCCACTTAAGACCTACTTGAGGTGGATGGAACGAGAAATTGTTACTAAGGTATGCCGTTTTTTTTTTATATTACAACCACATCTGTCAGCATGTTGATTATATGTACAATTAATATGAGAAAGAAGAAGAGAAAAAAAATGGTTTAATGCTTAAAAATGAAGAAATTAAAGACATAAATATTAGTATTGAAGTTTTACTATGCACTGTAAATTAAAATTATTATTACATACTCTAATTTTTTAGTTCACAGTGAAATATCACAATTGCAATATTCATTATTTTGTTTAATATTTTTATTTTTTATTTAATCGTAGTAATAATAATAATAATGATATAGTCATCGTCACAAAATTAGACAAATCGCAAAATTGTCACCAACTGAACAGACCTACAAACACGTAGAGCAAACCTGTAGCTTTAAAAAAAAACTAAAAAAAACAACAATAATATTTTTGACCAGAAAACACACAATTCGATTTTTCCTCAAATCATGGTGATATTTTGCAGAAATTAACAAAATATTAGAGACGCACCGATTGCAATTTTCTTGGCCGATTCCAATTTCACAGATGTTCTCTCACTTAAACAACTCTCAAAATAAAGTGCTCTGTGACTGCGGTAGGAATAACAATTAACTGAAAATGAGTTGCACTTCACACACTTGAGCTACTGGTTAAAAAAAGAAATATCATGCCTGTAAACACGTCCATTGGAGAGGAAAAAGACCATTTTTACACTTTCAAGTCATTTGTCATGAAAAATATATTTTTTTCCTTTTTTTTTTAAATTACCTTTTGTAGTGTAATAGGCTCTAATTATGGGCCGATCTCCATAAAAGTTTGCTTGCTTCTTTAGAATCAGATGGCGCATATGCTCACCTAATTTCTCCATGCATTTGTTTTGATTTCTGCATGCCTCTCTCTCTCTCTCTCTCTCTCTCAGACAGGCTGCGCGAGCGTCATCACAACATCAATACATTGTCAGTCGCCGTTTACACTGAATGCAATAAAATCAAAATCATTCTTGCATGAAAATTTGTGGTGGCCAAGTTTCAATGCTTCCCTAGTTATGGTTGTTACTGAAGTTTTAATCAGGCTTCTTGTCCTCCGGACTGGCTAGTAAAATTCTCTCTCACTTGCCCCTTTAAAAAAATCGACTTGTTCCAGACGAGCGCTAATCGAGCCCTGTTCCCCCACGGGTTACTTTGGCAGTACACGTATTACAAATTGCGAACTTTGTGTCTTCTTCACTCACAGTGAAGAACTACCACGCCGACGACATTTACATGCAGATGTGAGCGTAGCAGTGATGTCAAAACGGACCGGCTCGGAATCGGCAACATGTGAGACTGACCGGTCCGGGCCGATCACACAGAAAATTGGCTGATTCCGGTCCCTGGCCGGTCGATCGGTGCATCTCTACTTTTATCTCTGAGGCAAAACCAATATCAAATTTCTCTCTCCCTCGCTCTCTCGCTTTATTACTATTATTTTTTTATCGATAATAATAAATATTGCAATTATTAAGTATTTATTAAGTATGAATAATAAATATTTATACTACCGTTCAAAGGTCAATACGATTTTTGTTTCTGAAAGAAATTAATACTTTTATTTTGCAAGGATGCATTAAATTAAAAAGAATTGCAGTGAAGATCATTTATAATGTTACAAAGATTTCTGTTTCAAATAAATGCAGTAATTTTGAACTTTCTAAAAATCAAAGAATCCTGAAAAAAATCTAGGAAGCGGCACAATTTATTTATTTATTTTTTTTATTTTTTTTTTACTTTTTTTATGTTTCTTGAGTAGCAAATCGGCATATTAGAATGATTTCTGAAGATCATGTGACACTGGGGACTGGACTAATGATGCTAAAAATTTAGCTTCGCATCACAGGAATAAATTATATTTGAAAATGCATTCAAATAAGAAAAGTTATTTTAAAGTGTCATAAAATTTCACAATATTACTGTATTTGTTTGACTATTTTTTTGTTTTTAATGACAAAAGCACCTATAATGCACAGCAGGAGTTTGAGATGTTTTGTCCCTCTTCTCTAGATGACCAAAATGTTGGACCTGCTGGAAGACTTCCTGGAGAATGAGGGCTACAAATATGAGCGTATTGACGGAAGCATCACAGGAGGCATGAGACAGGAAGCCATTGACCGTTTCAATGGTGAGTTCAGATGTTTGCTATGTAACTGATGTGGTTTATTTATTTGTTCTCTCTTGTTCTATATAAACTCCATTTCTAAGTGCCATAATGAATTTTGTTTTTCACTCTAGCTCCTGGTGCTCCCCAGTTTGTTTTCCTGCTGTCGACCAGAGCCGGTGGTTTGGGTATCAACCTGGCGACTGCAGACACGGTCGTCATCTATGACTCAGACTGGAACCCTCACAATGACATTCAGGTATCAGAGTTCAGGCATCAGCAGTTGTCTCTGATGTTTGACATCAGGATAATCTGCATATATTGCTATATAATCATAATTTTTGGCCAAACTGTGAAGCCTTACAAACAAGCACATCAAACCTAGAGCTCTTTTTTAATGCATTTTTTATTTTATTTTAAATGGCACAATTTGTTTTTTCAGAAAAATGTGCTTTTAGCATTGTTTTTTGACAACTCGTGCAGCTGTAGTTGGCACGCATGCTATGACACATGAAGCTGTGGTTTAGTCATGTCTCATAATTGGCATGTCTTCTATAATATGGTTATATATGTAATTTTTTACTATCTCTTGCTCTTTTTCACTGTTTCCTGTCTTCTCCCTCAGGAAGAGGAAGTTCAGAGGGAGATCATCAAGCAGGAGGAAAGTGTGGATCCAGATTACTGGGAGAAACTGCTCAGACACCATTACGAGCAGCAGCAGGAGGATTTGGCTCGTAATCTGGGCAAGGGCAAGCGAATCCGCAAACAGGTCAACTACAATGACGGCTCTCAGGAGGACAGAGGTGAGAGATGTGCTTAACACTGTTAAACTGAACCAAAACTAAACTATGAATCAAAAAACTATATTGAAATTTTACAAATAAAAATTTATTTAATTAATACAAATAAAATAAATCTCTTCATTTAAATAAACTAAGGTTTTGACTGTGCTCTTTCCATTTTAAATTAGAGGCGACCGCTGCATTTTAACCACAGTCCAAACAAAGATGCTGCATACATGCAACATGAGCAGTTTTTTAATTTAAATTAGATTAGTATAATTTCGAAATTTTAAGCAAAAACAGAATGGTTTGACTTTAGCTTCGTGAAATTATGCTACATAACACATGTGAATGAAACAAAACCAACAGATGGGCTGAATGAGAGTGCAAATTCATTCTCTGACAGCAGGTGGCGGTTATGAAACAGGAGCAATATAGCATTTCCTAGGTTACCTACTTAAATATGCATTATACAGAGAACAGATGAAAAGAGACACCCCCAATATTATCGCGATTTGTTTAACATCTCATGTCAAGTTCACTACAGGATTTTAAGCCCGATTTGCAAGTCAACAAGCTTGCCGACAGGTGTGATTGGAAGAAAATCAGTGGGTGATCAGCACTCGCCAATCTTAATGTGTGAACTACTCGATCAAAGAGGCTCGTCGACGCTTCTCCGATGCCAGACAAATATCTAGCATGCTATATATCTGGACGTGTCGGCTGACTCGACATCCTGTGGTGTCAAGTGTCTCAATGGGCAACAGCCAATGAGAGTGCAAGGCATGAGTTGAGGTCAGCAGAGGAAAAACAGCAGCAGCAACATGGCTTCAAGAAAAGTGTGGACACAAGAAAAGGAGCTAAATTTAATTGAACTGTGGCAGGAGCATGAATGCCTTTATGATGTTTCAAATGCTAATTTCTTACCGACGTCCATTTTCAAATAAACAACAACTCCTGTTTTGGGCGTTGTTTCGTGTCATTTCACGTTCCACTTCTCACGTGTGTTTTCATGACAAAAAATGGTTTGGGGACCGGATATTGATGTTGGGTGGCAGAGTTGTTGTCAGCTCGTGTAGTGTGTGATCATTTACGTAGTGTCACATAGTGTGAACACCACAACGACTTCAAGACAGAGGCCGCAAGTCATGTAGTCTGAACAGCACAGCGATCTGCAGACACTTAAAGTCATGTAGTCTGAACTAGGCTCCAACCGTCTTGAATTGCCACATTTATATCGATTTTCAACCGGCTCGGGTTGCATTGTTACATTCCTACTAAACAACCATTGAAAGTGCTTTTAATATGATAATCATCTTTCTTGTTTCGTTACAGACTGGCAGGATGATCAATCTGATGGCCAATCAGATTATTCTGTTGCTTCAGAGGAAGGAGACGAGGACTTTGACGAACGAACAGAAGGTGAGACTGGCATGATGATGATCAAACACAGGATTTTAGAAATAAAAAAATTTTTAAACCCCTAAAATTGCTCACTGTCGTCTTGCAGCCAATTCACGGCGACCCAACAGGAAAGGCCTCCGAAACGACAAAGACAAACCCCTGCCCCCCCTGCTGGCCAGAGTGAGTGGCAACATTGAGGTGAGTGAAGGATACCTGGGATTTTTGTTTTCTTAAACTCGTGTGTTTTTAGTTTAACTTACTAAAACTCTGTTCGGATTTGGCAGGTGTTGGGTTTCAATGCTCGTCAGAGGAAGGCCTTCCTGAACGCGGTGATGCGTTATGGGATGCCACCTCAGGACGCCTTCACAACCCAGTGGCTGGTCAGAGACTTGCGTGGCAAATCAGAGAAGGAGTTCAAGTGAGTTTCATTTAAGTTAACAACTTGGTTATGAATATTATATAAATTGGGGGGG